ATTGAGATAAAAGGTGGAGGTGGGTGAAAGATAATTAATGAAAGAGGATGGATATGGTTGATGAAACTCATGAAAGCAAGTAGTTAAAAAACAAAATCCCCTCAAAATCGATGGCCTTTTTTTCTTTCAACAACAATATTATGTTGAGATGTCCACAGACAAAAAAATTGATGGATAATGTAAATGGTATAATAGAAGATGCAACATTGAGTTTTGATAAATTCTAAAGCATTATTAGTGTATAAAGCTCTGATTAAAGTGAAATATATATATATATATATTAAGTCTAAAAATTGTGAAGGAACTCTGACTGATATTTGATTAAAAACAAGTGCCAAGTGAACAATCATCAATAAAAATAAAAAAACAATGTTAAGCCCAATCAAGGATATGAATAGGACTCCAAATGTTCAAATGGACAAACACAAAAGAGGACGATGATTAGTGATAGAACAAAAAGGGCACATGATGTTACTAACCCAATTCAAATGCATGATGATCAATTTGGATAAAGATGAGAAAATAGATACAAAATCTCCCCACCCCTGAAAATAATAATAATAACAACAATAATAAAATTGTGAGGAATATTCATACTACATTAATATCCTTGCAATGCCAAGAAGCTTGAGGTTTTGGCATTTAGCAAAACTATACTTTTGAGATGTGTAGACAAGAATTTTGATAAATAATACCATTGCTATAACAGAAAAATACAACAAAAACAACAAGCTTTTATCCCCCTAAGTGTGGTTAGACTAAATGAATCTTTTTTTTTTTCTATTATGCTTATTAAGAGTCAAATTCTCATTTAAATCTGACAAAAATGATTATTTTTAATATTTTCTAATTAAATCTTTTAGATCTACCTCTATCTTTCTTAATATATGACAGCTCTAATACATTTATTCTCCTAACATGGTCATCAGACGACCAATATTTTATGTGACCAAACCATCTAAAGCGACTCTCTTTAATCTTATTTACAACTGGAGCTACTCCAATCTTTTCACATATATACTTATTTGCATTCTATCTCAAAGTGTAAAGCCACTCATCCACTTAAGCATCCTCATCTCTATAACATTTAACTTATTTTATGGTTCTTTCTTAATGGCCAACATTCTGCAGCATTGTAAAACTCACCATAATAAAAAATGCAAAATTAAAATTTAATAATTGATTAATTTCTAAAGATTATCAATGCATAAAGTATTAATTAAAGTGCAAAAATATACTTTTGTTTCTTGATAAAAAATTTATAAAAAAAAAAGAATCAAGGAGCTCTAACCTTTTTGGACCTAATATTCAATTGTGGAGTTAATGTTGTTAAATGTAAGGGTATTTTGGTTATTTTTAATTAAATACTTATTAAATGTAAATTTCAATTAATTATTATTTTTTGAAAAATTTTATTAAACTTTTCTTTAATAAAATTTTAATAATACTTTTAGTTTTAATTTTAAAAATTTTAGTCATATTTTATAAAATATGATTGATAAAAATATGTATGAATAAGTTGAAAATAACATCTATTTGCATTTGATTACTCTAAATCAATAAATATCATATTTTTATAAAATATGATTAGGAATTTTGATATTAAAACCAAAAGTATTACAAATTTTTTTAGTAAAGAAACCTTTAATAAAAATTTTGAGAAAAATTATATTTAATAATTGTTTAATTAAAAATAACGAAAATACGCTTACATTTAACACCATTTACTCCAACATTGGATGTCATGACCAAAAATGTCTCATTTTAAAGAGTTGAGGAACCAAATTGGTAGTTTGGGACTATTTTTGTCCCTAACAAAGAATTGAGATACTATTTTGATCCTTTTCTCATAAAATTAATAAAATAGTTTAATAAGAATAACAATAGAGCTCAAGTGTTTAAGCAGAATACTAAAGAGAATGAAGATGACGATTAATGGCAACTCTTAATATAAGAAAAGGATAAACACATGATAGTTAAATTTGGATATATAATATATAAGAAAAACATAAACAAAATCGTAAAGTTTGTTGAGAGGAGGATGACCTAGCCAACAATGTTAATGAAATGGAGAAATAGTAGAAGAGGGGGTGGAAGAAGCATAGGTCAACAAGTAGTAGACCCCTATCAACTTTAACGCCTCCAACAACCATATACTTCGAGTTGAAGATCTTAAAAGACACAATGAGAGGTATTAATTTCTAAGGCAAACTAAATAATAGGTTGAACGGAAATTATAGAGCATATAAAACATCTAAGAATGCGAGTTTTTAAAGAATATATAATACCTGTTCAAGAGACAAAAGAGGCTGAATCATCAACAATAATAACAAACTTTCAGAAATAGAAGAAGCCAAACCATCAAAAACAATAACAGATGGAAGAGATGACAAGAATAAGCACATAAATCTAAAATTTAGGACGTACAAGTAGGATAGTTGCAACATATCTATATAAAGAGATTGCATGAGATGTTGAGATAGATTATAGAGATTGTTTGAGCAACCGATCATAGTATTATTAAGAGAGAACAATCGATCCACATTTCAAAGCACCATATGAAGTAGGGATTGTGTAAATATATTGACCATTAGAGGGATAATTGACTTTCTCCCATTAAGGTTTACGAGGCTAATTGATGTGGCTATAATGAGAATAAGTTCAACCATAATGGCATCCTCACTCAAGTATAATTGGTTAGGAGTAGGAAGTTAGGGAGTCTAGAGCATTACGATGCGAAGAACTTGGGGGAAAGCAATCACAATATTATGCATGTTTAAGTTGACTATTAATTGAAATTCATACCTTACAAAGAAGGATGCAAGCCAAAGTAAAAATGGCAACAAGGAATTCTTAGTTTTGATTTTATTAAATAGTAAAATATTCCCTGAGTAAGGAAACTATGAACTCTAACATTTAATATTTATTGGTAAAGTTATTTAAATTTTGTATATTATACATAATTGAGTTTTTTTTTTATTTTAATTACTTGATTGTTGGATTCAATTTAGAGGTGGCACTCCTAAATTAGAAAGATTCACAATCAAAATGTTGGATCTCACAGGCTTGTCACTAGCATGTGAATGAAATTAGAGTGTTTATAATCAAGTTCATACAAAGAAAAGAAATTATTTGACAAGCATAAGGATGAGCTCAATAGTTCACATAATATATAACAAAAGATTAAAAGATAGACATTTGACGAAGAAAATTTTGGAGGACGATGAAGATACCTTGATAATAATGTGCCAAAAGATGATGAATAATTTTTGGAGGATGAAAATGAAGTTTTATATATATATATATATATAAATATTACTCACATTGCTCCTCTAATATCATCATTCATCAATCTATCCTTCCTAATACTAAAATGCATCTAGCTCTTAGAATTCTCATTTTGCGACATCAACTTGGCTATCAATGAAGTTTTATTTATTAACACTTGAATGCATACAATATAAGTCTCCATAATATTCTCTTTAACACCCAATACTTCAAAAAAATAAAATCTCATTTTAATCGCTCAACCTTAACTTCATAAGTAATATCCTTATCTATACTCATATTCTTTTGTTCAAGGGATCCAATATACTTGAACTTAATATTTAGATAATCTTTCAACAATATTGATTATGATAGTTAATAATAAACCAACAAAAATTGTATATCATTAATTGCTCAAGAAAAGCCACCACATCTCTTTGGTCAAATGTAACCTTTGTGAAACAAGGAACACAGCTGATCTCTTCCTCATCAATGGTTTGGTTTGTGACATCAAAACACGTTCATTATCCAGCAGGAGCCAAAGAATTTAAGCGTCCGAATAATAAACTTGAAACCGCCAAGAAATTGCATCAACAGTTGTCCGACAACAACTGAAGAGTAACCAGCAGAATTCTAGTCAGTCATTGCCAAATAAAAGAGTACTCCCAATATCTAAACCGTAGATAAAAGGAGAAAACCTCAAGCTGAAACAAACATCAACAACAAACGACATGCCTTCAGTAAATGGCCAAGCAGTCGGGGTAGGTGGATGCCCTACAGTAGTTTCCCCATAATCAATTAAGAAAAGGGCTGTTAAGTTGTTCACACACACGCACACACATATAAATATATGTATATATATGTATGTTCATTGGCCAAGCTAAATGCATTTATATGTCATTTAATGTATAGTTTGTCCTAGACTACGGCATGTACTGACAATTATTTGATCTGACCCAGATCAAACTTCATTCTGGATTCGATTCCAGAACCAAAAAACAACCTGAACTTCATTGAAAGTTTACAACAACAACATCAAGCTTTTGTCCCACTACGTGGGACCGGCTATATGAATTCTTTTTCGCCATTGTGTCATGTTAAAAGTCTAATTCGCATTTAAATATAATAAAGAAAGATCATTTTTAATATTTTCTAACCAAGCTTTTTTAGGTCTACATCTACCTTTCTTAACATAAGACAAATCTAATTCCTCAACTTTCCTAACCGGGTCATCTGAAGGCCTCCGTTTGATGTGACCAATCCATCTAAGGCGACAAACAAAAAACATATGCTGATTTAACACCTCCATGAAAAATGTCATGATGGTGTATATGGTGATAATCCAATTAGTGCAGACGAATGCATAATTTTTCCCAAGGGAGCCTATTAATATATGATAGGATATGGGTATACCGAGATAAGATCTGGAAATAGTGAAAATAAGATGATGGTACCACATGTCTAGATGGCCCGGTTGATATCTATTTGATTACCATCGATTTTGGCATTTTCTTTTCTTTTGATAACATTAGTCTTGCCATAGAGGGCCAAAGCACAACTTTAAGTTAAATTTTGGGGAAAAAAAAAGCCCAAAGAATCCCGCTAGTGTAATATTATCAAAATTTGTGAGTATTTCTATACATTCACCATCTCAATTAAAATAGAAAATTACATAATAATAAGAAACTGACAGTCAATGAACAATAAAATAGTAGGACAAGTGGCATGCTTACGGCATTTTACAAGATGCTCCTGAGCCAGACTGTCCAGTCGTTGCTTCAAAGCTTTATTCTCTAAGTTTAACATAAGATTCTGCTGATCTAAAAATTCCAGTTCGGCTGAAACTTCCATCTGTTCTGCCTATAGGAGTGAAACCCAAAAAAAGTTGTGATTTCAAGCTTTCCAAGGGTTCAAGGATAAAGACTACCCGCTTTAAATTTCTATTGGAATTTCTACAAAAGAAGGTATCATATTCTAATCTTTTAAGGATATGCCAGGAGTTACCTGTAATGCCTGTACACTTCTCTCTAGGTCAGCGATGTATTGAAGTTTTCGCACCCGGGAACGTTGAGCAAATTGCCTGCATCAAAGGAAAGTTTAGAGCCTAAAAATAAGGGAATATGGAGGGCTTTAGATCACGAAAGCAATATATAAACAAGAATGGTTCATCTTCTACCAATATTCAAATAAGAAATAGAAAGAAAAATGCCAAAGAAGAATATAGATAGGCATGTATAGTTATCATTGAAACACAACAAAAACGAACACATTCATTCTATCCTGAACTACTTTTTCAATTCAAACGGCTTGGTGGTGAAGGCACAGAATCTTCATGAAGATTCAGTACAAGGAATGAAACTTAAGAGACAGTATTCGTTCTCCCCTCCGTCAGGAAGAAATGAATGAATTAACTCGATCTGATTTTAGTAGTTAATTTGTTCCAGGCTTTGTTTCTATAGCATTCTTACTCACCTAATGATCATTCATATCTAAGGACAGATTCAGGATATCATCAACATTTGCCTAATACCAATGATATGGCCTGATTTTCTAATCTTCCATTTACTCAAGTGTTGCATCAGTTATTGACATTACTTTTTGCGTCCTTGTGCACTTCTGGTTTATCTTTGGGTCCCTCACTTTCTCCCTTGTTCAGCATAAATTCCAGTAAATCAAAGGTTCTATGTACCCACCACATAACTCGAGCTTTGTTATCAGTGCTTCTGATTAATTAATTCAGTTTTCTATCGGTTGGTAAGTTAGGCCTCGTTTGATTAGGCTTTTTTTCTCCGTTTCCGTTTGAATACGCCGAAATCAATCAGTATTTACTGTTTGGAATCAAAGCTTAACAATAATTCCTTTTTAATAAACATTATTTTTTCGGCGGTTACAAAATTCTTTTCGTAACTGCTTCTTCGGTCACAAAACGGAGTTTTGGAAGCGAATTATGTCTTTTATAATAAAATCTCAAAAGCAGAACTTCTAAACAAACAATTTAAAATTACTTTCAAGTATTAATAAGCACTTTTAAAAATATTAGTCAAACATATCTCATTATTAAAACTCCATTTTATTGAACGGCTTTTTCTCAACCTCCTTTTCTAAAACTCCTTTTTATGTAAGCATAAACCGAATCAAACGAAGCCTTAATTTGCATTAATGAAAATAAAAAACATCTCGTGTTAAATTTTACACCAGAAACAAGTGTACACACCCTTTTCCAGCTTGTAAGCTAAGAGGGTAACTGAAGCATCACCGAGTGACTGAGTGCACTGGGTTCCTAGCCCGAAATATATATTATTGAATCAATTATGACTATATAGTTGCTCGGTCAAGATATCAGTCATTATTCAATGCGAGCTATGAAAATGAGAGCACATTACTATAGATGTTAAAAACTCAAGGCATTTTAATAGGCAGATCAGACAGCAAATAATGCATTTCCGATTACTTCATCTTTATTGAAGAATTTATGTTCTTAGTTTGAGGCTTCTATTAAAAGTTAGCAATCATTAGGGAAAATGACTAAAATGATCCCATGACAATTTGTATGTGTTGGGGGTGAGAGGGAGGGGGCATTTTAGTCCCATTCTTTAAATAGGAGCTAAATATATTGCAATAAAAAAATGGAAATTAAAATTAAAGTTAATGGATGTAATTAAATATAATGGTATTTTAGAAATTTACATGTTGAAATTTTTCTTAATTTTAATTTGCTATTTACCTTATTTTCTCGTGTAAATTAGTTGACTTCGCATATAGTAGGAGAGAATTAAGATCATACAGTTTGCAAAGCAATATGACTTTTTTGTAATAAATAATTTTATTTAACATCTTTTATCTTGACTTCATTATAACAAACATATTGACTTTTTTTTCGGATAATTAAAATTTTAAACTTATATAATTTTATTAAAATAATATTTTTAGAAAGAAATATGCATTTCAATTGTTCAATTTTTTCATCAATATAATAATTTAAGAAAACAAAGTCAAAATTAAAAAAATTATTAAAAAAACTTGCTACGTATACTATTAACAAGTAACCTTAATAATAATATTAACAAGTGCATATTGCTAAACTATTCTCATTTTTAATATCATCCATTATTTTTAAACCCAATTTCCATTACTTTTAATCGTGATACTATTTTACTTCCTATTTAAGTAGTCCAGTGAAAAAACCGGATCTTTTATGTAATAGAGGACTAAAATGACCCCACACAACTAGTTGAATGGCCATTTTGCTCCTTTTCTCGCAATCATTATTATTGTGTGTGTGGGGCCATAGGGAGAGGAATTCATATGGCTTTTCTTTAGGATTTGGGTCTTAAGGCCCTATACTATTTTCTTTTCATGACATCTAGTGCACTAACACATTTCCAAGCATGTCAAAAGTAGATTTCTATGTCTTAAATGGGCATATTTGCAAGATAGATCAAGAGTTTCAAAATATTTAACCACTTTATATCAACCCTCTCAAGAAGTGCTTTAGCATACTTTTCAAAATGAGTCTAGACGATTAAGGCTATGGCACACTCATAGGTGACACAACATAGCCGCAAGTTGCCACAAGACAACAATTTGGCCAAATGTGAGCCCAGCATGGCTTACATTAGGTTTGATCAATCATATATCACTTCAACCACCATGTAACAGTCTATGAAAGGTCCATAACCCCCTTGAGCTTTTTGCATATCTTAAACATAGTTTAGGCAAATATAATTACAATCTAGCCAGTATATTAATTAATGCCTAGAACTGTTTGTCCATAGGTTCTATGAGCTTTTTTGAACCTTAAGGTCACAATTGAGAGCAGGTAAGGTAGACTTTGCTGGATCACCATCAAATATACCATAACTCTATCTACGGCGACCAATTCATTTGCCTAAGTTCAAGTAGATAAATTTTATGCTATAGTGGTTGGCCTTATTTCAACATGTTTCATTCAAGTCCTTGTCTGCAACAAAAGATGCACATGCTTGGATGTCAATAAAAATTTCGACAATGGTTTTGTATGGCACCCACAATGTGACAACATTTTGACTTGAGCGCACAGTTGTCACAAATTAGGACAAAATCCCACATAGCCATCATAAAGAAGGTGTTTATTAATACATGTTAGACTCCCACCCATGCCCAAAAAGGTAAATATTAGTGGTATTACCAAATGGAGCACCAATGCAAGTTTGGGCATCATTAACCATACCAAGAAAGGCTAGTATAGGTGATAGATGGCCTAACTTCTGTCAGGGTCATTAGCTGAATGAACTCTCAATTAAAGGTATTAAGATAATGACTAAGGGATCTCCACCTTGATGCCCAAAAAATAGGTAAAGGTGATGCCATCGACGTAAGCTCAATAAGAACCAAAAGATCCTTGTGCATCGAGAACCAACAATCTAATGAAATATAACAAGTGAGAAGCCTATTATTCCTTGCCTTCTACCCAAGAGATAATTTGTTGTATCAACTTCACTAAACCGAGCTTTAAAGTACTTTTCCTCCTAGCTCCCTAAACTCTTCAAGAGGGAGATACTTATAGAGTGAGAGGGGCCTCCCAATTGCTCCACTTAAGAAATGGAACTAAACCCCACAAGAAATAGGAAAGCGTTGCTTTGGGAATTCAAGACGTCTTGGAGGAAAATGCAAGCAAAACATGCAATATGATCTGTGGAGATCATGTCTTTCCGTAACCTAACTATAACTTGATATTCATTACAATTTGAAAACCATAATTATTGTTTGAACATAATTACTATTTTTGGTGTCATAAGTTAAAGTTGTTTGCTTGCTACATTCACATGTATTGACTTAGCAGGACTCTATGGATCATAACTATGATTCTTTGGTTTATAATTATGATTTTTATAAGGGAACAAACAAAATGATTGTGATATAAATAAGTTCATAGCCTTTGTAGTTGAACAACAAGCTTATAGTAGAAAGTAACTCAAGAATACTATTGATAAGAGAATCTCTAGTGTTAATCTCTGTAACGCCGGCCCAAGAGGGGCCGGCTAGACCGGTCCAACCAGGACCGGTCCGGTCTGGTCCGGTTCTACAACCGGCGGCCCAGGCACCAGGCGGAACCAGACAGAGGGGGGGCGGAACTCATGGTGGGCCCATGCATGAGTGAAAATTAGTATTGGAGGGAAATTTTGAATGGGAATGGCTGTTTTGGTATTATGTATTTCTCCTTTATGATTAATTAGGTGCTTAGGGGGGAATTAAGGGGATTATCTTGAATTTGAATTGTAATTTGAGATCTAGGGTTTGTCCTTGGGCTCTAGGCTACGGCTAGAGATTTGGAGGGCTGTTTCTTCCCCTCAAATTGGAGAAACCTGTATCTTTCTTTGCTTTCTCGTTATTTGATTGGATAGAAGGAGTTTGCTTGTCTTTCCTCTCCAACAATTTGATTTTCTGCTTGGTTTACTACTGGTTCCTTCTTAAAAACAGCAGATTTCCTGCTGTTTTCCCCCAATTTGGCTTTAGGTTTGCTTGCGAACTCAAGTATTATCTTAGGGTTACTTGCGAACTCAAGTATTTCCTATCAGTTTCCAAAGCAATCACTTAACTAAATTGAACGCTGTAAAAACAAAACATTAAAATGATTGTATGTTAAAACTAATATCTATATAAGGATAAATGATTATATTAGAAAGACAATTAATTTAGCATTTATTAAAGATAAAGATGTAAAAAATAGATAGGGTGGTTTAGCATGTACTATAAAAGACAAACAAAAGGAACAATGCGGCATGTCAATAGAATTAATGTGAGACAAATGTAAAAAAGAAGGAAAGATGAAAGGTAAAATAACAAAGTGGAGCAAAAGAACTTAAAAAAAAAAGTTAACATCATATATACACTCAAAAGGAGTGAGTGGATAAGACAGATTCATAAAGTTAAACCTAAGTTATTGGGATAAGACTAATGATGTAATAATAAGTGTTATAAAAGTGTTAAGAGCTCCCAAGATGATATGGTTTCCCAACACATAAGCCACTAAGCACTTGCCCAAGTGAACTAAGGAGGTAAAAAAATTATTCTATTACTTATAAACCAGTTGAAAATGAATTTTTTGGTAAGATTATGAAGTTATAATCATCATATTAAAGTAAGCAAGAAAATTTTATGAATTTTCAAATTCTCTAGTGTTCCATACTCATAATTCTAGTTGAATAGACCATCTTTAACATCTAATCTAATCTTCACTACTATCTATTACATCTTCACCATTAATATTCTATCTTTCAAGGATGAATTTCAATCCTTCTATCTACTAGCACTCACTTTCTTCATTCTCAAGAACTATTATTTTAGAACTTTGCTTCCTTGTATTTATATTTATCAAACTTGTTTCAAAGTGCACATCCTAATATATCATATTCTTGAGGCTTTCTTCCCAAACCGCCAACCCATTTTGATATCCCTAAATATGACCTTTTTCACATCCCTAAATTCATCATCTTTATTATTACTCTCGTCTCAATTATTTAGTCATCTTTATGAATCCCCACTCAAATTTATTTCTTTTGTCATATGAGGTGTCATATCTATTTTTCACAAATGCTTTTGCACAAGTTCTAGACATTTTTCCTTTGGTCAACCCACTTTCCTCCACTAATGCTTGCACATTAATTTTATTAATATGTATAATTGATGAATCTTTTGCCCAACATTCTAACCACCAAAAACCATTTTCTATTAATATTCACCCATCATCCCTCCAACAATCAATTCTTAGCTTTACCAATCATTTGTGCCACAATTGGTTGTCAATAACTTGTTATTGCCCAATGCTATGATCCATAAAACACAAATAGTAAAATTGTACTTTTATAGAACCTTCATTTGAAATAACTACAATATTCCCCCACAAAAAAATTTCCATACAATTCCCCTCTAAACCAAAATTTATAATTATATTATTATCTGTATACATATTCTTTGTATAATTAGTTTACGAAACTTAAACCTATCACATCTAAGTATTCACCTAATACTCTAATAATATTGGCTATAAATTATTAAGACCCATTGAAAAAAAAAAGAATAAAATAAGTCCAAAATTCAAATATCATAGTAAGTACAAAGGGCATCCTATTTTTCACTAAAATATAGGAATTAACATCAATTTACAGAACATTTTTCACAGGATTTCCCTAAAGTTAGCCCAGCATAAAATTTGAACCAATCTATTCCTAGCTTGGGATAACCTGTAATAAAGTGTTTGACACAAAAAATTGTTTTAGCTTGACCAACATAGGAAAAGATGAGAACTCGTTAAAAAACAATGGAGAAATCCTACTAAATGGTATCAAATAGACTAAATCAATCAACCAAGCAGAAAGTTACTCTTAAAGGAAGATCAAATAAGTTTTACGGCATCGGCGAATTCCAATGATCGTTGAAGGCTCTTCAATTACCATATGAACAAAATAAAACATCCTTTTGAATGTCATCCAGACATCCACACAACTAGCCTAGCAAGCCCTCTATTTATACCACATAATCATGCTACAATAAGTGGATTCTTTTTTGGCAAAACTACTGAATAAATAAGTGAAAAGCTTATTATGTATATGAAAGATTTGAAATAAAATTATCTCTTATCAATTAGTGAATCTTGATAAATTTGTATGATGTTATTTTTATTTCTTGCAAATAACCCCCTCGTCATACTCATCCTATCAGCTTCTCTTATCATAAGTGAATCATAATATATTAACATTTGGTGCTCTTGCAAAGAAATTTGTCCAAAAGAGAGTCACAAAAATGGGAGTCATGCTCAACAAAGGGAAACCCATAAGTCTTAAGATCATCATGAAGAAGTTGCTAATAAAGAAGAAGATCACTAACATGTAGTTGACGACCAACACAAAGAAGACAACACTATAATGAATTAAGCCTCAAACTTGATAAGTTGCAGAAATAGGCCATAGCAGTATTCAATGACTACATGGTGCTAGGAGTCAAAACATGATCGTTGTCTCTCAAAGACGGAAACTGATGGTGTCGAGCCAATTCGACAGCTAAGGAAAGCTTGGCATGTAATAGTGGTTCACTCCTTTACTTCAACAGAGGAAGTGCTCTAAGGAGATTAAAAGTATAATTTAATTAACTTATTCTCCTAAATCTAGATCACGAGGTCAAATCATCATTAGCCCTAACAGTCATATTTGTGGCTAAACAACCACCAATAAAGAATAAGGTGCCCCGACTCCTAATCTACAAAGGAGTCACTGACTTAAGGATACATTAGTAAATTTAGGGATATGCAGGCTATTAACTCAGTGTCTTAGATGCCATCATATGCAGTTTCTTCTTGGCTACACTTGCTAGACCAATACCACATTAGTTTTTGAAGCTATTGCACAAGGACATAAAAATCATCATGAATTCTAAGTACCTATTGGCCTTAAGTTTCTCAAGCACTTAAAAGTAGTGGAAGAGTGGCCAAAACTCGTTTTGTTTGGAGAAAGACTTTGATGCCCATTTTAATATTAAAAAGCTAGAGGTACCATAGCAAGTAAAAATATGGTAGACTTCCACAGATTTTAGGACTCAAAGAAGACAAATTCAAGTTTATAATCAATAAAAATCACCCTCAACATTATAGTCAACTAGCTAGCCAATGCAAAAAAGCTAATGAAGATATTCAAATAGATATATCGACCTCCCAAGTCAGTAACTGCCAACTCAAAAAAGTTTATAAAAAAAAAAAAACAAAGTTTAATCCTCTATCAAAGAGTTATGATGACAACCAAGGACAAACTATTGCTAATGTTTCCTCCACAATCAACCATTTTTTTCTCCTCAACGACTTTTAACCTCATCTAATATATCAGCTTCTTTCTATACATCATAAAGGCTATTTCAAATGGCCAAAAATGATGAAATTGACTCTTAAGATACATGATATATTGGAAAATTGATTATGAATAAAAACACTCTTAGACATATGGGTACAATACTAGTGGTACTAGAGAGTGTCACAAACTTGAAGGCATAACTTTTAAAATGTCATAAGGAGATTATAAATTGTTTGTCACTCGACCAATAAAATTTACAATTGTGTATACTCCTATTTAAAGAGTATAAGGACCCAATTAATAATAGAATATGTGTACATCAATAGTATAAGGAAAAATCTTGTCAACCAATGATTATGGCCCACCAGAAATCTAGTACAGCGTGACCAAAGCAATGGTAGGTGAGCACCTGATTGATGAGCCAGACCAATGCATCCACTAGGGACACACCTACATCGGCATGGTGAGCACTGCTCAAGTAAATAGACAAATAGCATCGTGGACCGTGCATAAAATTTATAATATAGTTTCAAAAAATGCAAAAAAGGATGAAGAGATTGGGCTTTCGGAAAAAAGAAGAGAAGGAAAAAATTTATTTTCACAGTTAAGAAGAATATAGAATTCAACTACTAATTTATGGTTGTAGAATTGATATATTAATAACAAATCCGGCCTTTCTAATGGAATCTTCTCAACAATTCGAAGGGCAGTCAACCAAAGCTTTATGAAAAGAAGTACATTGTTTTCTTCCGAGGGTTAAGGAGACAAGATCATCAAAATTATTCTCTACTCACTTGTTGTGGCACGTTTTCATTCCCAAGCTATTGCTATATAGACAAGATTAATGCTAGTATTCAATGCACAAGACCAAAAAACAAAGTGATGATATAATTGACAAAAAAAAGATTAAATGATGCTAAGCGTGATATTTTTCTTACCTAGTTCAAGTTTCATCATGAATGAATCTGTGAGTAGACTAGCAAAAACTAGAAAAATCACAACATTCAAAAAAAAAAACAAAAAACAAAAAACAAGAAAACATATATAACAAGACAAAAATAAGATGTCTGCATGGTCTAGTGCTTACTGTTTAACCCGCTTTGCATCAAACTCTGACTGAGAATTCTTAAACTGAGAAGTATCCTTCTTTTCCAAGAAGTTTTTTGAATCTTTAGGAGAATCTTCTTGCTCCAGCTTCTCAACAGCACAAGGCGCTACTACCTCAGGTTCCTTTGATGTCCCACCAAATGATCCTGAATGCAGATTTTTTTCATTTGCAATGGGAACACTCTTCGAATAGTTCCCCACGTTAAGTGCTGACTCCCAAACTCTATTCTGCTGTCTATCAAACAAATTTCTACTAAACAAATTCCCCTCCAAATAATGATGCTGGATATCTTTAAGTTGATCAAATTCATGTGAACCCCAGGAAGGCATAGAAGTTATAGTCTTCCCCCTGCATTCCCCCTGAGTTAAATTGTCCATATTTGAATATGCATTATCCAAGTAGGCGAAGGAATCACTTGATGACCGGCGATGACCACCTCTCCTTGCTGGAGCTGGAGTCTCAGGCTCATTAAGCAAATCATCAAGCCAAGAAGGCTGCTCCTCAATGATAAAGCTCTCAGAAGAGGTGCGCTGATGGCACCTATTGCCCTCTCTAAGCTTAGGTGCCCGTCTTGATCCAACCGACCCATAGTCTGCATAAGCCGGAGCAGCAATGCTAGGAAAAGGGGATTTTGGGGGAAGGAATGATTGTTTTCCAGTGTTTCGCGATGTGGAAGCCACTTTCATGTTCTCCATTGATTCCAATCCACCCCAAACCTGGCTAAAATCCAGTCCCCGCATGAAAAACATCACAAAGCTACGATTTTTTTCTATATAAAACCAAACCGAAATAATAAAAGAAAAGAGAGAACTCACCGTAGATCGGGATCAAAAAGCAAATGCGGGTAGAATGCAAAAGGTTACACACTTTGAAGTTACCAACGTACAAATAAGAAAATTGCTGATGCAATTATCGATATCTAAATAGCACAGATCCGGCAACAATTGGAACCCTAACAATGATGCAAACCCTACATGGAGGGCGTAAGAAAAGCTGCAAATTGGAAAAAAAATGGAGGTCAGAGACCGAATAAGCGTACCGTGTGGCACTTCCTCCTCTCCCCAATTCGATGCCCAGGGATGAAACCCTAAAAAAAAAAATCCTTAGCGCCTAGCAGAGCAGCGCAAGGATCCTTGTAGGGGTGGAGAGGAGATGGGAGGACAGTACGTGTAGAGTGTAAAGAAAGAGATAAATATATATCCTCCAAAAACTCGTGAGAATATCGCCACGCGCTTTGTCGCCGTTTTATTAAATAAAAGGGTCTATGATATTTGATAATATATTACTACTTCTCTAGGCACATGTGAGAGATTGTAGCCGTTGATGTGTTCATGCAGAAGAGATCGAACGGTGAGTACGAAGTAGAGACTATTTGTTAGGAAGGACTTGTGATTCAAGAATTGATGCCATCGACCTCAACAGAAATTACAGCCGGATCTGATACGACAGGTTTCTGTGTTCCAATGGGCAGGTTGGGATTAATTTGCGGGGTTGAATTGGGCCAGATTTCCATCTTTTGCCTGTAAGTGAACTGGCAAAGAAATATTGTTTGTTGATCATAAAACTCTCTCCCCCCCCCCCCCCCCCCCCCCCAAAAAAAAAAAAACCCCTCCTCCCCCGAAAATAAACAAAAAATCTTCAATTTTTCTTTTTCTATGAGGTATGGGGTGCCCATACCCACACTTACTCACTTATCCACTCATATCCAATGGGCATGAGTGGGTATGGGTATGACCATGACCTCGTGGGTGGGTATTCAACATCATAGGACAAATTAATTTACATTACTAATTATCATATGTATGCAATATATTACAGTAATTCTTACTACGCAGTGCGCAACACTGAACCGCGTCATGACCAGGATAAATTTTGATATGTGGCTTGAAAGTTTGCAGTCCGAGAAAATGACAAAAAACTCAAGGCCATTAATTCGTGGCAGACTGCATTCAAAAAGCGTGAAAATTGGGTGGGTGTGCGTGGGTATGACATCCCAAAAGTCATCATAGGTGGGCATGGGTGGGCAAAGCCTAGCGCAGAGTGTGTGTACCCAATGGGTACCCAACCAGGACCCCGTATAGGGCATTGTTGAGCATGCAGCTCATTATGATCTTTTGATTGAAAGTTTTGATTATCAAATTAAAAAAATTAGTTTTATATGTGATGTATATAAATTTGTCTTAATTAACTTAAAATTTTCAAAAAAAAAAAATTTTTTTGATTGAACATAGGGATGCAAACGAGTCGAGTTTGAGTTAGGTGTTCAAGTTGATGATTAACTGTCAAATATCGAGCTCGTCCCACTATAAACGAGCTCAAGCAAGCTCACGATCCTCGGCTA